CCTGCTGAAAGTAGCTATTGAAGCTTCTTCTGCAAAGAGCACACTCAGAGTGCAGTCAGTGAGAGTGGGGCTGTGTGCTGGGCTGTTATTTCAGTGTATCTTATAGACTGCATCAACACCTTTAGAGTCTTTCTGTGGTTCTGAGCAAAAGCAAATCTGACACTTACAGTCCATTGCCTCTAATACAAATTAAGTCATTTTTTAGTTTATCCTATTCTCTAGGATAGTGCTTTAGTGGGGTTTTTCAGTGTAATTCAATTTGGACTGTCCTTGTACTGAAGGCTCTTCAAAAGCTTTGCCAGTAATTAGGCCCCTTGATTGTGCAGTCAGGTAAAACTTGGCATGCTTTGCAGGTGAGTAAAAAGAGATCTGTAAGTAAGTAGCACACAGGAGTAAATTTGCCCGAGGCCACAGAGTAAAGTCATGGCAGAACTGGGGTGAGAGTGCAGAGCCCCTGCTCCTAATGGGCTCTGCTAAACGGGCACCTGTGGGGTGCCATTTACCACCACATGGAAACTGCAGCTGCTAAATTAAGGATTTCACTAATAGCAGTAGGGTTGTGGGGTTTTTTTAATCCAATATTTTCTTATTTTCATATGAAGATTCACAGGAACTGCTTTTTAGGAAGCCTCAGTGCAAGCCATTGTGAAGGAGCTGCCTATGCCTGCTCACCACATCCAGCCCTTAAAGATCATAAAAAACAGTACAACTGTGAGTCAGCTCCAAAAAGAGCCCTTAACACTAATAAAGCATCTTTCCAGCTAGTTTATGCATTCCAGTGCATAGTGAGGTAACAGAAAATCTAAGGCTGGTTTCACTGGCCATTAGGTAGGTAGGCTGCATCTGTTACTGCTCTCCTGCTTTACTAGGGGCAACGCTTTGCACGTATGTTTCCCGTTGCGGTAGTTTCAGGGGTTTGTGCTTAAATCTACACAAATAAATTTCAAAGACCCTGTTACTGTGATGTGCAACTTTTGCAAATGGCAGTGCCATAGTGAACTGACTCTGCATTTGTCCATCAGATGTAAATCTTAAGTTATATATTACTAAATTAGTAATAAAGTACTATTTGAGTGGAAATTACTCTGCTTTGTCACATGTTCAGGAGCTTCTGACTTGCACAGCAGACTTCTAATTACTGATTCCCACTTGACTTGGCTTATATGTGTGGCAGTCTTGGATGCTGAAGATTTCTAACAGGGATTTAACCCTGTGTGTGTGTAGGATGTATTGATGCCAGGAATGAGAAGTTCCTATCTCAGAATGAATTGGCTGTTGGCTGTGGGAACCAGGGGAGCCTCCCTGGTAGACCCCAGCTGTGGGTCTCACCACGACTGTTTATATTTGTGTTATATCCGAAGCTTGTGAGCCAGGGAATTTTGCTGACGTTGCTCAGCACTTCATAGTCTTGCCCGTGGTCTGCAGCAGATCTGTGTGTCTGTGCTTTGTCTGCAAACCCTGCTAGTTGGGAAGGTGATTGTGCTCTCCAACCAGGCTCGGGCCCTTCATAATCTCAACTGTCACTGCTCTCACGTGCAGGCAGATGGTTTGGGTTTCTCTTTCCAGTGTAGGGTCTGGTTTAGGCAAATCTCCCTGTGAAGATTACGGAATGGTTCAGGTTATATAGAAATACATAAGTGGCACATGGGGACCAGGAGGAGTGGTTGTGACTTGGGATCTTGATCTCCTTGAGTGAGGCACAGGGTGTGCACGTTTAGTATCCTCACTCTGTGGGAAGGTAATATACATGAGAGCTTTCTTTCCAGCTGATAGGCAGCCTGGAAAGGAACCTGTGACCTAACCATTGGTACATACTGAATAGAAGTTGGCTTGAAAATTTCCAGCACTCTCCTGGGCAAACTGCAAAGCACAGCTAGAGTGAGCAGGGCCCGGCCGGGCTCATGAACCTCAGGCAGCCTGGGCTGAACACCACCCAGCCCAGGGAGCCAGCTCTGCCAGCTGGGGCAGTTGTAGGATAGAAATCAGTGGGGTTTCAGGAGGAGCTTCACTGAGAGCTCATTTTGCAGTGTTATAAAGAGGAAAATCCTAAGTTTCTTACTGAAGTGAACCCACGATGAGTGCTACAGAAGTTTGCTTAAGTAAAGAGTGAATAACATACAGGACGTAGGTATGTGTGCACGCAGAGGTCTTCAGGATTTAGCTGAGTGTTCACACATTCCCTAAGCCAATAACATCCGTTGTTATGGGAAATGAGGTAAGTGACAGAATTACTGTCCTTATGGCGGGCGACAGGCAAGTCTAATGTTCCCATGCTGTAATTCCCTGCTTCAATTACTGCTTCAACAATAGCTTGAGAGAGACCATGAACAAAGAACACTCAGTTTTATATGAAGATTTCATCGAAAAAATAGCTAGATTCAGATGAGACTCAAGTCGGAAAACAGAGCTTACTGCTTAGCTAACCCACTGGGGCCTTCATTCTCCACCTCGTTCTTCGAGTTAGAGCAGCCAAAGGAGTTTTTCGAGGCAGTGGCGTTTGAAATGGTTCTCGTGCCCCTGAAGTGGTGTAGCAGGGCCAGGGCCGAGCGGTACCTGTGGGTCCACCCAGCCTGGGGTTGGTTAGTGCGCGGAACCCTGCGCAGCCGGTGCCAGCCCCAGCGCTACCGCCCCTGCCCCACCGCGGAGCCGCGCAGCGCGGACAGACGCGGGTGTGAGCGTGTGTGTGTGCCCGCGTGTCGGAGAGGGCGCA